TCAATCTGACAACCTTTTCAAAAGCGATTTGCGCTGGGCCGCAGCGTTTCTTCTTCTTCTTCTTCTTTTTTTTTTTTTCGTTATGCGAATGCGGAACTGCCACCCAAACACTAGACTTTAATTGTTATTGAAAATACCGTGTTTACAATCCTCCTCCGCTGAGTTATGCGTATGGCTTTTGAGTCGAGTTGTGAACCATCAGTTGTTTCACGTTTCCCTTTGTGTATACAGTATGTAATTATTAAATTTATCTGTCTTCCTTTTGTCATTGACCTTATCAGACGAGATCACGGAAGTTCTGGTCCTCAGCCCTTAACTTAGCAGCAAATAATTCATATGCGCTTTCGCAATTTTAACGTTTATACCTTTACTATATAAAATCATTGTTGGTACAATCGTACAAAGCAATTTTCTCTCTTTTTCAGATACACAGTTTTCCCTTTTTGATACAATGAACACACGCTGATTGGCATGTCACGCATTCCCCTCCATACATTGATGATTAAAAAAGGACAGGTTAAGCGCTGGACAATTTTTCATTTGTTTCGTTTCGCAAATCAGGGTTATCACATGGTTATCTCATGGTTAACATGACGCCCTATTTGACAAGTCGTATAAGGAAAAGTTCTATTGAAGTGGGTCCATTTTTACATCAGCCTTTTTTTTTTAGCAGAGGCGGTAGCGGCTTGTTCAATGATTGGTAAGAAAGCTTGTATTCATCGGAGAAATTTTTTTTATCCTGGAAAATTCGGTATCTTGGAGGTGTAACTTTGCTATCAGAAGATCAATGTTCACTGGGAAAGCCCAATGAAACAATTGAAGGGTGGTATGAGTCTTGGCCGGACAGATCGAATGGGCTGCAATTCAAACAATTTCAATGTTGTATTGACTTTACGTTCGATGATTTTCGATCACTGCTCGTTCCATGAAGGTAACTCATTTTGCATTTGTTGTGTAACGAAAATGACTATTCCAAAAGTTGCGAGCAGAGTGCATGAATTAAGAGTTTTGTTATCGCGCGGGAGTTTTCGTGGAGCACGCCCACTCTTCCTTTTTTTTATCTGTTTTTTCTCTTAGACGAGCGTTCATTAGTATGCGTTAATTATCGGCTAAAATAATACATATTGTAGGGAGAAATTATTGCTCACGATTTCTTATTATCAAGTCAATTGCTGCCGACTCTGATATTTGTAACGATACTTTTGAATGGTAGCTTCTTGCGAAAATGTCGGCTCGTTGAACATTGTGAGGAAACTTCTTCCTCCATTTGTACATACGGCATGGGAAGAACTCAAATATAGAAATTTATGGCCGCTCCGCTCTCCTGCAAGACGCAATTTTCAGGAAACAAAGACTGCCTCGATGTAGCCCATAGAAATCAAATACAAAAATAGCTGGGTCTTTAAAGTACACAGGGGAAATGATGATTCTTACAGTTTACTAATAGTGTGTCAGTTATTGTTCATCGATGACACAGCAAATTCAACAAAAGATGATATAAAAGGTGTAGACAGACAGAAAAGTTATCGATGCTTATTTCCTCACAGCCCACACACTTTAATTTTATTTGTACACTTCGGTTTTTTCCAAAATTTTTGCATAATATTTTGATTTGGCTTGCAGTTAAGACACTTACCACCCTGACTTTTTCAGAAATTAGAGAGATTTTCGTTCTCTCGAGTCATTCTAAAACATTGAAGTCGTTTTGTCATTGTCTTTGAGAGGGCTTACTGTAATTTGCGGAACGAAACAAAATGAAAAAATGTTATTTGTGAGTTTAATTCAAATCGGTAATATGCGAAATGGAAATATTTCAATTTTGAATCAGAAATCTGTAATTTTCAAACTTGTCATTTTAAAAATTATCCAGCGTAGAAACTGTGCTGTTTTAATCATCAATGTTCGAAGTGGAATGCATGACATGACACTCAACTTTAAGCCTGAAAACGGTGTATCTGTAAAGAGAGAAGATTGCTCTGTACGACTGTACCAACAATGTTTTTATAGTAAAGGTGCAAATATCAAAATTGTGATAGCGCATGAGAATTTCATGCTGCTAAGTTAAGGATTAAGGACAGGAAGTTCCGTGATAAAATCAATGACAAGAGTAAAGTTAGATAAATTTAGTAATATACTGTCCACACAAAGGGAAACGTGAAGCAACTGAAAGATGGTTCGTGATAACAGATGAGTGTCATTTAGCACTGGAACAAGTCGACTTAAAAGGCACACGCATGACTCAACAGTGGAGGATCAAAAACCAGAATTGGCCATATTTTCAAAAACAATTGAAGTCGAGTGTTTAAGTGGCAGTTTCACATTCGCATGACAAAAGAACAGACCAGAGTAACAGCCAAGCTAAAAAATTTTGACATAAAAATGGTCAATCGAAAACCGCTCAAAAAAATTTGTATGATCCAGTAAAAACTTCATCAATTAGTCGCATTTACCTATACAACCACCTCCCACACCTCCCCGCGTACTAAGAGTTCCTCTTCCACCCCTCCTTGAATAACAACAGTCTGTCTCTCACTCCTCCCTTAGAACTGATAGACTACATCCCACCCCTCCCTGAGTACTGATAGTGTGCCCCCCTTAGCGTCTCCTCTAAAAAACCATTAGTCTCTCTAGATCTGTCAGCTATATTTTTTTTATCTCATCTTAAGAGAAATCAATGAAAAAATTATTCGTAAACAACGTCGAACGTGATGGATTGCCGAAGCATGAAAATCAGTATTGCATAGCGTTCTCTAGGATTACGAGGAAACAACGCTTGCACGTTGCGTAGTAACATATATCAGCCAAGAGGGCTCTTACATGTATGCAATACTGTTAATGAAATCGTTAGCTACAGGTTCTATAATCTATTTCTTCACTCTATTTCCTTTTAAGCACTTTTATCCCTAATTTGTTGAGATTTTTTTATCGAAATCTCGTCAGAATCTTTCGAGGTTAATTTTGTCTCTCGCTGCTTATGTATGCCGGAAACATGTACGTGCTAAAATGATATGTTGGCATCATCATAAAATGTTTTGGCTAGTACCAAGATTACGTAGCAAGGAAGTAAATAGGTCCATGAAAAGCGGGTGGACCGTGACAAAGACCTAAATATAGAAAGAGCACTTTTTAAAAATTCCAGTGGTCATGACCTGTTTGGGTTTTCGCGCAACTTTCTACACTCGTTAGCTGGAAAATTAAGCTTTTTCTCAACCTACAATTGTAAGCTTCCTACTTTACAAGGGCTGTTCGTGACTTATGCCGTTCGTTGTTTCAGTTGTCGCGAGAAATGTACTTGTACATCAGAAAACTTTTGATCACGTATCAATTCAATAGGGAAAACCCCTTCAGACGAATTACCAAACATAAATATTTATGCCAAACTGAGCAACATATAAGGCTTGTTGCAGAGTTTGAGCGAGGCTGTAGACGTAGCCCTAACAATTCAAGTCTCTGCAAAGAAAGACAGAAAGGTAGGACAATATACAACAAATTAAGCAACATTACAATGATCAGTGGAATCTCGTAAAGTTTTTGTCGATTAGCTACGGAAAAAATGCTTCAAGTAATGTGGCTCTCACTATTGAAATCAGTCTTTTAATTTCGCCACTGCGTTTTTAGGCTTGCTGTATATTCATGATATCCAAGATTAAATTCACTCCATTACTAACAAACTTTCACAGGAAAGTTAAGTATTGCAAGTGTCTGATATTTTTTTTATTGTCACCAGAACGCTGTAGGTCACTTTTCAGTGGCTCCTGTATTGTCCTGTATTGTCGTAGCCTCAGTAGCATGGCACAACCATTAAACGAAGGTCTAACGCTCGAAACTTCAGCCTTAGAAACTCTTCACGCGTATGGCGGCCAATTTACATTGTCAACTCAATTCATAAAACCAAACTTTCCGTTTAATTCTACTTTAAATCGTTCGTAACCTGCCTTTTTGTTAGTTACGACTTATTTTTAATTAATTCTCTGTTTAAATTTTCCATTGATCTAAAAATACTTCGGAGAGCCTTTTTTCAGGCTGGTCTAACACGAAAGCGCACATTTAGGGCCGTTACCCACTCCTACCCCACGATTGTTTGCGTGGGAGGAATGCTATATTTAGGCCGAAAAAAAAAAACAACGTCATCAGGGAAAGGAAAAATATTACAGATTTTCATCGACCCTATTTTTTCAGTCATTTGCTATCAGTTAACTGGAACCCCCGCTAACTTAATAAGGCTTTTGTCTCGTAATTTCTATCATTCGATTCTAGAATTGTGGGCGCTGACAATTCCTTACCTGGCGGGGCTCTGAGGGACAATATGTTTAGCGTGAAGCAAAATATCGCAAGATACTCTTAATCTGAATACAATTTAAATTTTATGAAAAAAAGATGCAATGCCATTAGAAACTAATAGGATGTTTTTTAATGTTTCAGATTTATTGCAATAGTGGGCTGGCGATCAGACTGAAAACTTGACGATGGACGAAAGATATCAATTGTTCTTGTTTTCCCTTTTGTCGTTGCTTTTGCGTAAGTATCGTATTACACCTTTCTTCATTTATCATATGTTTGTCAGGCCCCTGAGTTGTATCTATCTATTTAATTTCATGGTCTATGCTTTACAGCTGACAATAAGCTACAATGCTAATCAAAAGGCAACCTTCAGGTCATATATTGCGAAGTCATCGAGGATGAACATAAGAGCACATAAAAATATCACAGCGCTGCAAAAATCGCTCATGGCCTTCTGACTGAAGATCCGCAATGGAAGGAAGAGGGTTTACTGGTTTAAAGTCAGCAAGGGTTTCAAGAAAAATGCTAAAGAGACAGAAGTCCGTGCTTATAAATCCCATTCATAGAAAATAGTTTATTGTTACTTTAAAGAAGCGCTTCTATCTAAAACAGGTGTCGTCTTGATCACATTAGTCAAAGATAATTTCCATTGAAAGAATACATTAGTCCTATTAGGTATCACTCGCTCTTTATCTCACATCAATAAAATACTGAAAGGTATGTTTCAACTCGCAGACTTGAGCGTTCAGGCTAATTCTCCATGCCAACCGGATCAGATTACAATCAAAGATCCAAAAACTGGTTCGATTCAGTGCCAGGACTGTTTGAAATGTCCACCTGGCGAGGGTCTCTCAGTCGATTGCGGAGAAGTAATAACCCCTTCGACACCTGTGCAGTGCAAGCCATGTGTGCTGGGAGAGACATATTCTGCTTCCCTCAAGGCCGGAGCTTGTGAGGACTGTGGAAATTGCGGTGAGTACCGCGAAACTACAAAAGCCTGTACGGTAACTTCCAAGGCCGTGTGTGGAAGGTGCAAGTCTGGCGCATATGCAGAGGGCATTCTGGGACTGTGCAAGCCCTGCTCTCCGTGTTGTAATGATGGTAAAGATATCGTTATACCTGAGTGCCAAGTTCTAGGTGTACCAACAGGCATGCAGTGCAGCTACCTACGATCCAACAAGTGCAGCGCATTGGTGACATCAACTATTAGCCCGACGCCGTCAACCCCACAAGATCAGTCCATAACCCCATGGTGGCCATCCTCTTCTACAACGAGCACCGAAGTAATCTCTTCTCCAAGTGAGCCAGCCGTCAACCTGATTGAAGAGAATTCACCAAATGTGGGCGTCATAGCTGGTTCTGTTGTGGGCGGCCTCCTTGTTGCCATCACGATCCTCGTCGTCGCGTGCCGCAAAGTTATGCGTAAACGCCGGAAGGCTACAGTGGAAGACGGAGCTGGTCAGACGCAAAATTGCGAACAAGGAAATTATCAAGAAGTAACTCGGGAACAAATAGAGGATAGAGTCTTTCTGCATGAAGATAGCCCACTTCCACATCCCACTCAAGAGGAAGCTGGTGATAATAGTTCGGAAAAAAAAGGAGTGCAGGAGACCACGTCTCCTCTATCAGGCCAGAATAGTTTAGGTAAAAGTATGACTGGTCATAACTAAATTTTTGTTTAATTTCCTTTGCTAAGAACAAATTGCAAACCACCCTTATGTTGATTACTAGTCATACACCTAATTTTTTCTCACACAATGGTACGGACCGCTGGAAAGGGGGAGGGGGCTTGGTTTATCGATATGTATCGAACAAAATCCGGCAGAGACCTTCTAAAAATCTTCCAAAGGGAAAGTTTTGCCAAATAAGGATGTCGCAAGGGAGATCCGAGAAACAGTAAAATCTAAGAGTAAGAGGATTCTTAACCCCAGGATTGACTATTAAAGTAACTGTTCCTTCTCAAGTTTAAATCACAAATACCACACAATTTACTAATCAAAGGCTTACAAAATCCATTCTTTGAAATCATTTCAAAAACATATAAAACCGTTATGAAGGAGTTTTTGAAGGTTGATTTAAACTTTTTTAAATATAATTTCAATTTCATTAACTGATGCATCTTTTGATATTACTTTAGTTTCAGATTCTAAACTTGACGGGTCTGTGGTGAAGCAGTATACTAAATCGTCTAAAAAGCAAGTATACAGTCTCCCCAATGTTGTCACAAAGACGACCACTGTCACGATGTTCAAGATCACCGATGAGAAGGTCACTACGGTTTGACGACAGCCAGAGAAATGGGACATTTTCACTACTTAAAGTGTTTCTAATCGTCTTAAAACGTCTGCAAGCCCCGATTCATTCTTATTCTAAGATTCTCTGTTCTCCACACTTCCGTAAGATCATCAGCTTTCAACATTTTCAGCAAATCACTAAAAGGGAAAACTTAGAAGGACCGGTCATTTTCGATCGCTTGGAGGGTGTATCGAAGGATTTTACTTGTGTCGCGATAAAATTTACCTGATCTCCTCATAAGGCTTTGTAATATAGTTATGATCCCCTTCATTCGCAATTGCCAATAAATTGTCTATGCCCCCCCCCCCTACCCTTTATACTCTGTTAGCACGACTGATCCTCTCTATGTTCCATCCGTACCCACTCAAATGAATTCACCATAAGGGGGTGGGGGTGGGTGGGCTTGGGTGAAGGGAGTGAGGACGCCTTCAGCACACAGTTCTTCCAATGTTGTAACCAGGAAGACCGCTGTCACGATGTTCAAAGACACCGATGAGGAGGTCACTACGGGTTGACGACAGTCACCAGCTCCTTTGAATGCAATTTTCCGTTAAGTTATGCTCAGTAGTTTTTTGAGTTAGTGACAGAGAAATTTATTGTTTGACAAATTCCCCTTTAAAATACCATATGAAATGCATTGAAAACAGTATGTAGGACTTGCATGCAAATCTTCGGGTGTAAAGGTTAAGCACCTTATAACTAAATTTCACCTCAACTCGGCGCTTAGTTTTTATGCAGATCAGTATCTATTTGTGATATGATAGGATGAAGCCTTTCATTTTGAATTTGTTATTTAGAATTTGTTATTAACCTTTCCTATTTTGGCCATTCCGTCATTGTTCTTTGGTTTAAATTAACTAGCGGGGTCCGCGATAGGGAAATGGCTATTTAGGAGGTTATTTACTTTATTTGCGTAATAAGAGCAGCCATGGATTGCTTTTATTCGCTAGCCTCCCCAACGTAATCAGCTTCCCTTACCGTCGACGCCGTTCTCTCAGAAGCCATCCGCGTTTTGGGCTACTGAAGAGTGTGTAAAGCTTTCACAACATGTCGCAAAGCGCAGATCTCTTAAATTCATTCACTGTCGTGCGTGTTCAAGGAAGTTGTCAATCATGTTATCATTATTTTTGGAACGGAGGTTGTTTTTGTCTTTCTGTCGTTATCAAACCAAATAAAAGCTTTTCGGTAGAGTTACTTTGTGTCCGTTTTTACTAGACCAATTATTCAACTCAGGCTTGTCGAATATGAAATTATACGAGAGATTGGAAACTGAAAGTACTTACCCTTATACACACCCCTATTCCAATGATAGTTTTTTGCCCTCGCAGGGTTCTGGCTCAGAGGTCGGAACCCGAGGAGGCAATATAGACTACCCGCGTTTAGGGAGAAATAAGAAATGACGTATGATCAATCCTGAGCTTGCAATAGGAGGCTGTTTATAAGGTATTCGTGTATACAATTATTTTTGTTTGTTGTTTTTTCCTGCATGTTTCGGGGTATTTGGTACAATGACGGTTTAAGGTTATCGATAATTCCAGCCTGAATTTTACCGCCTACATCTAGACGACAACGTCGCATTTACATTCACTGAGCATGGAAATTTATGGTTTTTGAGCGTTATCAATCAGACTGAAAACGTAAACGAAACCTAGAAGCTTTAAGATTTTTTTTGTATTAGGATTTTAGTCTAACATTTCGAACAGAAGAGAAAATGCCTCCAAAATCTAAAAAAATTGTCAAACAATGGATTATTGTGTCTACAGTACACTAGGAAACCGCTTAATTGACAACCGGGAACTGCTCAATCCCGAAAATGCCGGGCTCTAGACGACAACGTCGCATTTACATTCACTGAGCATGGAAATTTATGGTTTTTGAGCGTTATCAATCAGACTGAAAACGTAAACGAAACCTAGAAGCTGCCGGGCTGGACCACATCTAAAACTAACATAACAATGACGAAGCTAAAAACAAACACAGCCATCGGGCTGATATGGAAATTATCTTGATCTTTAGAGTGACTTCCCGCCAAGCGAGATCCACTGTTCTATTTCCCCAATAGTTTTATTCTTCATCTTCTCAAATTTAGCAAAATGATTCGAGATTATTTTTTATTTACATATTATATTCTTATGCTCTGAAGGAAGCAAAGGTCACAACCGCTCGTCAAAAGCTTACTTAGCAATATTTTGAGTTTGTTTTCAGTCGTGTAATTTCTTGACCGCTCAGGTTTTATCATGAGTTCCTTTTACACGCGATGAGGTCTAATCTTAAGAATACTTCAGTTATTTCATTCAGGATGTTAACACACGAAAAGAGATATATTGTTTCGACATCTAAGACATCGTGTGACTGAACAAAAAAACCAGGAAAATGAGACATATTCAGTTTCTTCGATATTTACCGAACGCTCGGTTAAACTGTCAATTTTTGGTTCCACTATTTAAATGAAACATCCCTAAAAGTTCGTAAGTTTAATGCTCTACAACAATCGTGATGTTTATTCTTTGCTTTACGCACGATGAGTAACAGTCTTTAGAATAATCAGAGGTTTAATTGTTCTTTTTTTTAATAGGTTTCAAAACTCAGCATCAATCAACCTAGCACAACAAATTTCCGAACGATCACGTGACGGTCAAAGTAGGATCACGTCTAGCAAATAAAGGACTTCGACTTTTCCGACCGTATCAGTTACGATTTATCAAAAACTTAGAGACCGCCACGAAATATGTCATAATTCTTTATTTTAATAAGAAAAAAGAAAAAAACAAGAAAAGAAAAAAACAAAAACAAAAAAAAACAAGAACGTGCGAGTGTGTAGAGAGCACATCTCGACAATACCTGTGCTCGGCAGACACGGGGTCATACTTCATTATTCCATCTCTAATGGTATAATTTACATGATAAACCTGCATTGCGTTCACTGTTGATTAATTTATTGATGTTACCATCAATATTTCCATGAAAAGTTCGATTGCGCCCAAGATCCTGCATAGATAATGTGTCTATCTAATCTTACGTCAACTCTCTAATAGGAAGGAAATATTAAATGTAAAACGTTTTAGAAATTAGTCGTCTGAAGTGTAACTCCGGTTACACTTCCCTCTGTCGAAAACGTGAAAAAGCTGTACCACGCTTCCTAATCAAGTTACGGTTTATTCAATTAATGTTATGATTTTATTACAACGCTTCGGTTAACTCCACTCACAGCTCTTAGCTTATTTGAAAAAAGACACTAAAATCGTGAGGCAGCAGGCACGTGGAACAAGGCCATATATGGGTGTTAAAAAAAATAAAACGTGACAGATAAATGCTATGTAGTAGACAAACTAAATAACTCACAAATGTCAATCAAATTAAGACGAATTAACGTATCGTAAAGTCTCCAACAACTCTTATAGTGATTATTTCTTCACTTCCTCATACTGCCCTGATGCTCCCTTGGGTCGTCAATCCTGACACAGACAGGCTTAAATCGGGCCCTTGACTTTGCGTATGACAAAGACGAGAATCACTAAACACTATGGCTCTTTTTTTAAGTATTTGTTTTTCTGTGTGTGTGGACGATTCATTAGCATGATATAACTTGCAAATTAGCAAATTAGGCTAGCTGAAATAAATCTTTGAAAATTAAAAAAATGTGAAGTCATCACGTCTTGAATGGAGAGGAAAAAAACCAAGCCTGTGATCAATTTACAAATATTCTCTGCGTCTCGTATCAGACTCAGAAAATTAGTTTCATTTTTGTATCTTTCGCTAACTTAGTTTTTACTAATAAAATACACGGCTGGTAACCTTCAAGCTTGATGCTTTATAGGGTTAGCGTATTTGATTAACAATTACGGTGTTTATGATGATTAATGATGATATTTGTTTGGGCCGAAATTCTTTCTTTTCGTTCATAAGCTGAACAAAAGAAGCGAGCCGGCAAGGGCGAAACTGAGTCATACATGTTTTTCTGCTATACATACGTTGTACCTATTAATGGCTTACCTCCCTTCCGGGTTCTTTGTAGATCAATGGTTGAGCATCCAAACGGGAAATCGGAATGTTGAATGATCGATTCACTAAATTGGAAATTCAGAAGCTTTCTTTGTCTTGCGCTCGGATGACATCATTTTCCAAGACTTGCTTCTTGAGGAGCAAGGCAAACATGGGGGGGGGGGGGGGGAAGAGGAGGAGGGAGAGGGTGATTTTCTTTTACTCCAAGTCTGGTACACGTGAGCAAATATCGTTACCACTCCGTCACAGTATGGTCATGTATGGACGATAGGAGAACGGAATCAGCTCAAAAGAGCTGCAACTGCTCAAAAATATAAAATCTGGCACCGTTTTAATCATTTTTATCGATGAATAACTTAACAGATATTACGCACACAGAAAAATGTTTTCGTTTGAGAAGCTCAGATGTTTTCGGACAGAACTAAGGAAAGCGATACTTAGGCCCAAAGCGAAAAGAAAAAACGTTTCCATAGTTATTTTCATTAACAGATCTGGGAATTTTATATGCTGGTCAGCGGTGAAACGCGTTACATTGACCTCTTACCCAGACCATCGCCGTTCATGTAAGCACGGACTCAAATTTTAAACCTCGTATTTCCGTCGTTATAAGGCCACGAACGGGTGCTTTTCTTGTCCTAAAATACGATCATTGTGTTGTCGATACCTTTTAAAAGAATAAGCTGTAATGACATAGCGACGGATAAGTATATATTTTTTCATTTGAGGCGGCGCTTTCTTATTATTTGCAAGTTAACAGCTCGTTTATCATTTGTATGCAACTGTATTTGCATTTTCCGGTTTTATACGTCAGCAACCCGTGCGTCTGGCGGGCGTAACAGAATGAGTTAATGTCTGGTTTTACCTGCCCTGGAGAACGACTAATCACGTTTTTGTTACATAAACGCAAAAGACGAGATCCTTCATTCCTCTAGAAATTCTAACGCATTCTTAGCGTCTCGTCTTAAGCTATGAGTCTCTGCCAGCTATATTTTTTATCTCATCTTAAGGGACATCACTGAAAAAATAATTCGTTAACCACGTCGAACGTGATGGATTGCCGAAGCATGAAAATCAGTCTTGCATAGCGCACGCTAGGATCACGAGAAAATAACTCTTGCACGCTGCCTAGTAATGATATACCAGCCGGGAGGGCTCCTGCATGTATTCAATACTGGAAATAAAATCGTTAGTTACAGGTTCCAGTCGTCTCACTGTATATGTATTATATATTTCTTGACTCTATTTCCTTTTAAGCGCTTTTATCTTTCATTTGTTGAGATTCTTTACTGAAACTCTCGTCAGGATCTCTCGAGGTTAATTTTGGCTTTCGCTGCTTATGTATCCTGGCAACATGTACGTGCTGGCATCAAGATTATTGAACAAGGAAACAAATAGGTCCATGAAAAGCGTGGGAATCGTATATGTAAGACCTAAATATAGAAAGAGAACCTTTTAAAAGTTCCAGCGATCTTGACCTGGTTGGGTTTTCGCGCAACTTTCTACACCCATTAGCTGGAAAAGTAAGCTTTTTCTCAACCTACAAGAAAATTAGCTTCCTACTTTACAAGGACCGTGTTCAAGACTGGTGCCGTTCGTTGTATCAGTTGCCGTAAGAAATGTACCTGTACATCAGAAAATTGTTGATCACGTACCAATTCAATACAGAAACCCCTTCAGACGTAATACCAAACATAAACATGCATGAAAAATTGAGCGGCATGAAAGGTAACCTAATTCTCTCTATATATTGCTTGTTGCAGAGTTTGAGCGAGGCTGTGGACGAAGCCCTGACAATTTGAGTCTCTGCAAAGAAAGACAGAAAGGTAGGACAGTACAACAAAATAAAGCAACATTTCAATTATCATTGGAATCTCGTAAAGTTTTAGTCGAGTAGCTACGGAAAACGATTAGCTAAGGAAAAAAACCTTCAAGTAATATGGCTCTTGATGTTGTGGTAATATTCCAATCTTTTAATACTAATATCCAATCTTTTAATCTTGCGGCTGCGTGTTTAGGCTTGCTGTATACTCATGAAATCCAAGATTAAATTTATTGTCGTCAGAACGCTGTCGGCCATTTTTCAATGGGTCCTGGCTATTGCCGGCGTTTATCACCAGCGTAAGTAGTATGGCACAACCATTGAAATTGGCGAAGGTCTAACGCTCGAAACGTCAGCCGTAGAAAATCTTAATGCGTACGGCGGCAAATTTACATTGTCAACCCATTTCATAAAACCAAATTTTCTGTTTAATTCTACTTTAAGTCGTTTCATAGAATTAAAATCGTTCGTAACCTGTTGTTTGTTATTTACAACTTTTTTATGTTTAATTCTCTGTTTAAATTTTTTTCGCCGGTCTAAAAATACTTTATTTTGGAGAGCCTTTTACAGGCTGGTTTAACGCGTAGGCACACATTTAGGCTTGTTACCCACTCCTCCCTCACAGTTGTTTGCGTGAGAGGAATGCTATATTTAGGCCGGAAAAAAACGCAACGTCATCAGATAAAAGAGAAACATTACAGGTTTCCCTTGACCCTATTTTTTCAGTCATTTACTCTCACCTAACTCGAATCCCCGCTAACTCAAAAGGGATTTTATTTCGCAATTTCTAACGTTCGATTCTAGGTCGGGCACCATCAATAAATTGTCGGTGCTGACAATTCCTTACCTGGCGGGGCTTTGAGGTGCAATTTGTTTAGCGCGAAGCAAACTATAGCGAGATACTCATAATCTGAATACAACTTAAATTTTATGAAAAAAAAGATTTCATTAAAAATTCAATTAGAAACTAATAGGATATTTTTTAATGTTTCAGAATTTGTTATAATAGTGGGGCTTTCAGACTAAAACCTATTACGTGACGATGGAAGAAGGATTTCCACTGTTCCTTTTTTCCCTTTTGTCGTTGCTTTTGCGTAAGTATTGTATTACAACTTTCTTCGTTTATCATGTGTTTGTGAGGTCCCTGGGTTGTACCTATCTATTTAATTTCATGGTCTATGCTTTACAGCGGACAATAAGCTACAATGCAAATCAAAAGGCAACCTTCAGGTCATATATTGCGGAGTCATCGAGGATGAACATATGAGCACATAAAAATATCACAGCACTGCAAAAATCGCTGATAAACTTTAGGGTGAAGATTCCCAAAGGGAGGAAGAGGGTTTACCGGTTTAAAAGCAGCAAGAGTTTCAAGGAATGTGCTAAAGAGACAGAAATCCGTGCTTATAAATCCCATTCATATAGAAAATAGTTTATTGTTACTTTGAAGAGGCGCCTCTATCTAAAACAGGTGTCGGCTTGAACACATCAGTCAAGAATAATTCCCATTGTTAGAACACAATAGTCCTTTTGCCATTAGCTCTTTTTCTGGCGTCAAAAAGATACTGAAAGGTATTTTTTAACTCGCAGACGTAAGCCTTCAGGCCAATTCTTCATGCCAACCGGATCAGATAACAATCAAAGATCCAAAAACTGGTTCGATTCAGTGCCAGGACTGTTTAAAATGTCCACCTGGCGAGGGTCTCTCAGTCAATTGCGGAGACGTAATACCCCCTTCGACACCTGTGCAATGCAAGCCATGTGTGCTAGGAGAGACATATTCTGCTTTCCTCGAGGCCGGAGGTTGTGAGGACTGTAGAAATTGCGGTGAGTACCGCGAAACTACGAAAGCCTGTACAGTGACTTCCAAGGCCGAATGTGGAAGGTGTAAGCCTGGGGCGTATGCCGAAGGCATGCTGGGACTGTGCAAGCCCTGCTCTCCGTGCTGTTATGATGGTAAAGATATAATTATACCTGAGTGTCAAGTTCCAGGTGTACCAACAGGCCTGCAGTGCAGCTACTTACGATCTAACAAGTGCAGTACATTGATGACATCAAGTATTAGCACGGCGCCGTCAACCCTTCAACCAGATCAGTCCACGACCCAATGGCGGCCATTCTCTTCTACAACGGGCACCGAAGTAATCTCTCTTTCAAGTGGGCCAACCACCAACATGGTTGAAGAGAACTCACCAAATGTGGGCAGCATAGTTGGTCCTGTTGTGAGCAGCTTCACAGCTTTCGTCACGATCCTCGTCATCGTGTGCTGCAAAAATATGCGCAAGCGCCGGTCTCACCAATGTTGTCACCAAGACAACCACTGTCATGATGATCAAGGTCAACAGTGCAAGGTCACTACGGTTTGACGACAGCCATCAGCTCCTATAAATTATCTAATAACCTGATAAGTTTTGCCCTGTAATTTTTTTTTTTGTACAGTGACAGAGAAATCGGGACATTTTCGCTACTTAAGTGGTTTCTAATCGTCTTAAAACGTCTGCAAGCCCCGATTCATTCTCGTTCTAAGATTTTCTGTTCTCTCGATTAAGATTGACCACACTTCCGTAAGATCGTCAGCTTTTAGCATTTTGGGTGGGTGAAGGGAGGGAGGACGCCTTCAGCACACAGTCCCCCCAATGTTGTAACCAGGAAGACCACTGTCACGATGTTCAAAGACACCGATGAGGAGGTCATTACGGTTTTGACGACAGTCATCAGCTCCTTTGAATGCAATTTTCCGTTAAGTTATGCTCAGTAGTTTTTTGAGTTAGTGACAGAGAAATTTATTGGTTGACAAATTCTCCTTTAAAGTAGCATATGAAATGTGTAGGAAACAGTATGGAGAACTTGCATGCAAATCTTCGGGTATAAAGGTTAAGCACCTTATAATTATATTTCATCCCAACTCGGCGCTTAGTTTTTATGCGGATCAGCATCTATTTGCGATATGATAGGATGAAGCCTTACATTGTGAATTTGTTATTAAGAATTTATGTTATTAACCTTTCCCTATTTTGGCCATTCCGTCATTGTTCTTTGTTTTAAACTGACTGGCGTGGTCTGCGATAGGAAATGGCTATTTAAGAGGTTCTTTACTTTATTTGCATAATAAGAGCAGCCATTGATTGCTTTTATTCGCTAACCTCCCTTACATAAACAACCCCCAGCCGTTCGCTCAGAAGCCATCCATGTTTTGGGCTACTGAAGAGTGTGTAAAGCTTTCACAACATGTTGCAGAGCCCAGATCTCTTAGATTCACTCACCGTCGTGCGTGTTCAATGAAGTTGTCAATCATGTTATCGTTATTTTTGGAGCGGATGTTGTTTTTGTCTTTCTGTCGTTATCAAACCAAATAAAAGCTTGTCGGTAGAGTTATTTTGTGTCTGTTTTTACTAAACCAATTATTCAACTCAGGCTTGTAGAATATGAGATTATACGAGAGATTGTAAACTGAAAGTACTTACCCTTTTACACACCCCATACCAATGATAGTTTTTTGCCCTCGCAGGGTTCTGGCTTAGAGGTCGGAACGAAAGGAAGAAATCTCGGGACTTTGACAACTGACCGCTTAATACAGGTTAGACTGTAATTGATGGTTCGGTCCTAGATGACGATGCCAGTGATACATATCGTCCCTATCAACCAAAATTTGGACACAAGCGCTTACTTTAAGACTTTTTTTCTGTATTAGGATTTTAGTCCAACATTTCGAACAGAAGAGAAAATGCCTCCAAAATTTAAAAAATTGTCAAACAATGGATTATTGTGTCCACAGTACTTTAGGAAACTGCTTAATCGACAACCGAGAACTACTCAATCCCGAAAATACCTGAGACGGTCACGTGACCGTCCAAGTCTCTGCTTATAGTTTGACGTAAGCCGCGGGCATTGTGTTCCCACCGCATGGCCAGATCAGTCAGATAAATTGTCGAGAAGACTTCTGTAACTTCAAACACCCGGCAATCAATCCTGAGCTTGCAATAGGAGGCTGCTTATAAGGTATTCGTGAATACAATTGTTTTTGTTTGTTGTTTTTTCCTGCATGTTTCGGGGTATTTGGTACAATGACGATTTAAGGTTATCAATAATTCCTGCCTGAATTTTACCGCCTATATCTAGACGACAACGTCGCATTTACATTCACTGAGCATGGAAATTTATGGTTTGCGAGCGTTATCAATCAGATCGAAAACGTAAACGAAACCTAGAAGCTGCCGGGCTGGACTGCATTTAAAACTAACATAACAATGACGAAGCTAAAAACAAACACAGCTATCGGGCTGATATGGAAATTATCTTGATCTTTAGAGTGACTTCCCGCCAGGCGAGATCCACCGTTCTATTTCGCCGATAGTTTTATTCTTCATCTTCTCAAATTTAGCGAAATGATTCGAGATTATTTTTTATTTACATATTATATTCTTATGCTCTGAAGGAAGCCAATGTAACAACCGCTCGTCAAAAGCTTTCTTCGCAATATTTTCAGTTTGTTTTCAGTCGTTTAATTTCTTGACCGCTCAGATTTTATCATGAGTTCCTTTTACACGCGATGAGGTCTAATCTTAAGAATACTTCAGTTATTTCATTCAGGATGTTAACACACGAAAAGAGAGATATTGTTTCGACATCTAAGACGTCATGTGACTGAACAAAAAAACCAGGAAAATGAGACATATTCAGTTTCTTTGATATTTACTGAACGCTCAGTTAAACTGTCAATTTTTGGTTTAAATATTTAATTGAAACATCCCTAAAAGTTCGTAAGTTAAATGCTTTACAACAATCGTGATGTTTATTCTTTGCTTTACGCACGATGAGTAACAGTCTTTAGAATAATCAGAAGTTAAATTGTTTCTTTTTTTTTAATAGGTTTCAAAACTCAGCATCAATCAACCTAGCACAACAAATTTCCGAACGATCACGTGACGGTCAAAGTAGGTCACGTCTCGAAAATAAATTACTTCGACTTTTTCGACCGTATCAGTTACGATTTATCAAAAACTTAAAAAGACCGCCACGAAATATGTCATAATTTTTTATTTTAATAGAAAAAGAAAAAACAAAAACAAAAACGTGCGAGTGTGTTGAGAGTACATCTCGACAATACCTGTGCTCGGCAGACACGGGGTCATAATTCATTATTCCATCCCTAATGGTATAATTTACATGATAAACCTGCATTGCGTTCACTGTTGATTAATTTATTGATGTTACCATCAATATTTCCATTAAAAGTTCGATTGCGCCCAAGATCCTTCATAGATATTGTGTCCTTCTAATCTTACGTCAACCCCCTAATAAGAAGGAAGTATTAAATGTAAAACGTTTTAGAAATTAGTCGTCTGAGGCGTAACTCCGGCTACACATCACTCTGTCGAAAACGTGAAAAAGCTGTACCACGCTTCCAAATCAAGTTACAGTTTATTCAATTGATTTTATGATTCTATTACAACGCTTCGGTTAACTCCCACTCACAGCTCTTAGCTTATTTGAAAAAGACACTAAAATCGTGAGGCAGCAGGCACGTGGAACAAGGCCATATATGGACGTTAAAAAAAATAAAACGTGACAGATAAATGCTATGTAGCAGACAAACTAAATCACTCACAAATGTCAATCAAATTAAGACGAATTAACTTATTGTAAAATCTCCAACAACTCTTATAGTGATTATTTCTTCACTTCTACTGCGCTGATGCTCCCTCGGGTCGTCAATCCTGACATAGACAGGCTTAAATCGGGCCCTTGACTTTGCGTATGACAAAAACGAGAATCACTAAACACTACAGCTCTTTTCTTAAGTATTTGTTTTTCTGTGTGTGTGGAGGATTCATTTGCATGATTTAACTTGCAAATTAGCAAATTAGGCTGGCTGAAATAAATCTTTGAAAATTAAAAAAATGTGAAGTCATTACGTCTTGAATGGAGAGAAAAAAAACCAAGCTTGCAGTCAATTTACAAATATTGTCTGCGTCTCGTATCAAACTCAGAAAATTAGTTTTATTTTTGTATCTTACGCTAACTTAGTTTTACTTATTAAACATATTACACGGCCGGTAACCTTCAAGCTTGATGCTTTATAGGGTTAGCGTATTTGATTAACAATTACGGTGTTTTTGATGATTAATGATGAAATTTTGTTTGGGTCGAAATTCTTTCTTTTCGTTCATAAGCTGAACAAGAGGAGCGAGCCGACAAGGGAGAAACTGAGTCATACATGTTTTTCTGTTATACATATGTTGTACCTTTTAATGGCTTAGCTCTCCTCCGGGTTCTTTGTAGATCAGTGGTTGAGCATCCAAGCGGGAAATCGGAAGGTTGAATGATCGATTCTCTAAGTTGGAAATTCAGAAGCTTTCTTTGTCTCGCGCTCGGATAACATACGATCATTGTGGTGTCGATACCTTTTAAAAGAATAAGCTGTAATGACATAGCTACAGATAACTAGAATTTTTTCATTTGAGGCGGCGTTTTCTTATTATTTGCAATAGCTCGTTTATCATTTGTATGCAAATGTCTTTGCATTTTCTGGTTTTACACGTCAGCAACCCGTGCGTCTGGCGGGCGTAGCAGATTGACTTGATGTCTGGTTTTGCCTGCCCTGGAGAACGACTAATCACGTTTTTGTTACATAAACGCAAAAGACGAGATCCTTCATTCCTCTAGAAATTCTAACGCATTCTTAGCGTCTCGTCTAAAGCTATGAGTCTCTGCGAGCTATATTTTTTTATCTCATCTTAAGAGACACCACTGAAAAAATAATTCGTTAACCACGTCGAACGTGATGGAATGCCGAAGCATGAAAATCAGTCTTGCATAGCCCACGCTAGGATCACGAGAAAATAACTCTTGCACGCTGCCTAGTAATGATATACCAGCCGGGAGGGCTCTTGCATGTATTCAATACTGGAAATAAAATCGTTAGCTACAGGTTCCAGTCGTCTCACTGTATATGTATTATATATTTCTTGACTCTATTTCCTTTTAAGCGCTTTTATCTTTCATTTGTTGAGATTCTTTTATTGAAACTCCCGTCAGGATCTCTCGAGGTTAATTTTGGCTTTCGTTATGATGTATCCTGGCAACATGTACGTGCTGGCATCAAGATTATTGAACAAGGAAACAAATAGGTCCATGAAAAGCGTGGTAATCGTATATGTAAGACCTAAATATAGAAAGAACACCTTTTAAAAGTTCCAGCGGTCTTGACCTGGTTGGGTTTTCGCGCAACTTTCTACACTCATTAGCTGGAAAAGTAAGCTTTTCCTCAACCTACAAGAAAATTAGCTTCCTACTTTATAAGGACCGTGTTCAAGACTGGTGCCGTTCGTTGTATCAGTTGCCGTGAGAAATGTACCTGTACATCAGAAAATTGTTGATCACGTACCAATTTAATACAGAAACCTCTACAGATGTAATACCAAACATAAACATGCATGAAAAATTGAGCGGCATGAGAGGTAACCTAATTCTCTCTATATATTGCTTGTTGCAGAGTTTGAGCGAGGCTGTGGACAAAGCCCTGACAATTTTAGTCTCTGCAAAGAAAGACAGAAAGGTAGGACAGTACAACAAAATAAAGCAACATTTCAAATATCATTGGAATCTCGTAAAGTTTTAGTCGAGTAGCTACGGAAAACGATTAGCTAAGGAAAAAAACCTTCAAGTAATATGGCTTTTGATATTGTGGTAATATTCCAATCTTTTAATGCCAACATCCAATCTTTTAATCTTGCGGCTGTGTTTTTAGGCTTGCTGTATACTCATGAAATCCAAGATTAAATTTATTGTCGTCAGAACGCTGTCGGCCATTTTTAATGGGTCCTGGCGTTTATCACCAGCGTAAGTAGTATGGCACAACCATTGAAATTGACGAAGGTCTAACGCTCGAAACCTCAGCCTTAGAAACTCTTATGCGTACGGTGGCCAATTTACATTGTCAACTCATTTCATAAAACCAAATTCACTGTTTAATTCTACTTTAAGTCGTTTCATAGAATTAAAATCGTAACCTGTTGTTTGTTATTTGCAACTTTTTTTTATGTTTAATTCGCTGTTTAAATTTTTTCACCGGTCTAAAAATACTTTATTTTGGAGAACCTTTTACAGGCTGGTCTAACACGTAGGCACACATTTAGGCTTGTTACCCACCCTTCCCTCACAGTTGTTTGCGTGAGAGGAATGCTATATTTAGGCCGGAAGGAAACGCAACGTCATCAGGAAAAAGAGAATATCACAGATTTCCCTTGACCCTATTTTTTCGGTCATTTACTCTCACCTAACTCGAGCCCCCGCTAACTCAATAGGGATTTTATTTCGCGATTTCTATCGCTCGATTCTAGGTTGGGCACGTCAAGTCGTCTCGCACGTCGGATAACATCTTTTTTCCAAGTCTTGCTTCTTGAGGTGCAAGGCAAACATGAGGGGAGGAGGCCGAGTGATTTTTCTCTACGTCTAGTACACATGTTTCTTTTCGTTTGAGAAGCTAAGATGTTTTCGGACAGAACTAAGGAAAGCGATGTTTAGGCCCAAAGCGAAAAGAAAAAACGTTTCCATAGACCTCTTACCCAGACCGCCGCCGTTCATGTAAGCACGGGCTCAAACTTTGTATCCACGGTGTTCAATAGAGTTGATGCATCATATCAATATGTCTGACTAAAACATACAGTTGTTTGAATGTACAGCCGAGTTTTAGGCAAAAATGCAACTCTCGTCACAGAAAACTTGTATACGATTAAATTACCAAGGACTTTTTAAGCTCGGTGTTTCTTGCTCCTCTGGTGGGGCAAAATGTTACAAGTAATTTTTAAGTCCCCGCACTACGTTTCGAGACAGCATCGCGTGACATACCGATCCTTTTGTATCTATTTCCATAATTGTAAGGCCATGAACGGGTGCTTTCCTCGTCCTAAAATACGATCATTGTGTTATCAATACCTTTTAAAAGAATAAGCAATAAATGACACAGCTACGGATAAGTAAATTTTCTTTCATTTTGAGGCGGCGCTTTGTAATTGTTTGCAAGTTTACAGCTCTCTTACCATTTTTATGCAACTGTATTTGACACGTGAGTCTGGCGTGCGTAACAGAGTGAGTTAATGTCTGGTTTTGCCCGCCCTGAAGAACTGCTCGTCACTTTTTTGTATTCATTAAACGCAAAAAGGCGAGATCCTAAATTCCTCTAAAAACTCTAACGCATTCTTAGCGTCTCCTCTAAAAATATGAGTCTCTCTGCGAGCTATATTTTTATCTCATCTTAAGAGACATCACTGAAAAAATTGATTCATAAACAACGTCGAACTTGATGGATTGCCGAAGCATGAAAATCAGTCTTGCATAGCGTTCTCTAGGATCACGAAGAAATAATTCTGGCACGTTTTGCGTAGTAACATATACCAGCCGGGAGGGCTCTTGTATGTATGCAATACTGTAGATGAAACCGTTAGCTACAGGTCTTTTCTACAACTATGAGTCTCTCTGCGAGCTATATTTTTATCTCATCTTAAGAGACATCACTTAAAAATTAATTTATAAACAACGTCGAACGTGATGAAACGCTGAAGCATGAAAATCAGTCTTGCATACCGTTCTCTAGGATCACGAGGAAATAACTCACGTTTCGTAGTAACCTTTACCAGCCGGGAGGGCTCCTCCATGTATGCAATACTGTAAATGAAATCGTCAGCTACAGGTTCCTACTTAGTCAGCTTCCTACTTTACAAGGACTATTCGTGACTGATACCGTTCGTTTTATCAGTTGTCGTGAGAAATGGGACGCACAAATTCAAGAGAGAAACTGTTCACGTACCAAATCAACAGGGAAAACCCCTTCATACCTAATCATAATACCACCTCAGACGCAATACTCAACACAAATATGCATGAAGAAAAGAGAGGCATAGATGGTAAACTGATTTACTATATAAATCACTTGATAATTCTTTTTTGTCGCAACTGATTTGAGCGAGGCTGTAGACGAAGTCCTGACAATTCAAGACTGCGAAGAAAGAAAGAAAGGTACGATGATGCAACGAGATAAAGCAACATTACAGTGATCATTGGAATCTCGTAAAGTATTTGTCGATTAGCTAAGGAAAAAAAGCTTCTAGTAATGCGGCTCTTACTATCGTGGTCATATTCCAAGGATCAACCTTTTAATTTCGCGGCTGCGCTTTTGGGCTCGCTGAAAATTCACTCTATTACCGACAAACTTCGACAGAAAAGATCAGTATTACAAGTGTCCGACTTTTCTTTTTTATTGTTGTCACCAGAACGCTGTCGGTCAATTTTCAGTGGGTCCTGGCTATTGTCGGCGTTCAGTACGGCAGTAGCATAGCATGGCACGAACCCTCAGTCTTAGAAACTCTTTATGCGTACGGCGGCCAATCTATATTGTCAACTCATTTCATAATAACAAATTTTCCGTTTAATTCTACTTTAAATCGTTACATAGACTTAAAATCGTTCGTAATCTGCTGTTTGTTAGTTACAACTTTTTTTCCATTTAATTCGCTGTTTAAATTTTTCCATCGATCTAAAAATACAGGCTGGTCTATCAGGTAGGCGCACATTTAGGCTTGTTACCCACTCCTCCCCCACGATTGTTTGCGTGGGAGAATGCTATATTTAGGCCGAAAGAAACACAATGTTATCAGGAAAAAGAAAAATATTACAGATTTCCTGGACCCCATTTTTTCAGTCATTTACTATCAGCTAACTCGGACCCCCGCTAACTCAATAGGGCTTTTCTTTCGAAATTTCTGTCATTCGACTCAAGGTCGGGCACGGTCAGTAAATTGTGCGCGGTGACAATTCCTGAGGGGAAATATGTTAAGAGTGAAGCAAACTACCGCGAGGTACTCATAATCAGTAAATACAACCTAAATTTTATGAAAAAAAGATATAATTCCATTGGAAACTAATAGGATGTTTTTTAATGTTTCAGAATTTATTATAATAGTTGGGCTGGCGATCAGACTGAAAACGTGACGATGGAAGAAGGATTTCAATTGTTCCTGTTTTCCCTTTTGTCGTTGCTTTTGCGTAAGTATCGTATGACACCTTTCTTCGTTCGCCCCTGAGTTGTACCTATCTATTTTACAGCTGACAATAAGCTACAATGCTAATCAAAAGGCAACCTTCAGGTCATATATTGCGAAGTCATCGAGGATGAACATAAGAGCACATAAAAATATCATAGCGCTGCAAAAATCGCTCATAGCCTACTGACTGAAGATCCGCAGTGGAAGGAAAAGGATTACTGGTTTAAAGTCAGTAAGGGTTTCAAGAAAAATGCTAAAGAGACAGAAGTCCGTGCTTATAAATCACATTCATAGAAAATAGTTTATTGTTACTTTGAAGAAGCGCCTCTATCTAAAACAGGTGTCGTCTTGATCACATTAGTCAAAGATAATTCACATTGTTAGAATACACTAGTTTTTGTATCACTAGCTCTTTATCTCACATCATTAAAATACTATGTAGGTATTTTTTTTTAACTCGCAGACATAAGCGTTCAGGCTAATTCTTCATGCCAACCGGATCAGATTACAATCAAAGATCCAAAAACTGGTTCGATTCAGTGCCAGAACTGTTTAAAATGTCCACCTACCGAGGGTCTCTCAGTTAATTGCGGAGACGTAATACCTCCTTCAACACCTGTGCAGTGCAAGCCATGTGTGCTGGGAGAGACATATTCTGCTTCCCTCAAGGCCGGAGCTTGTGAGGACTGTGGAAATTGCGGTGAGTACCGCGAAACTACGAAAGCCTGTACGTTAACTTCCAAGGCCGTGTGTGGAAGGTGTAAGCCTGGCGCGTATGCCGAAGGCATGCTGGGGCTGTGTAAGCCCTGCTCCCCGTGCTGTAATGATGGTAAAGATATCATTATACCTGAGTGTCAAGTTCCAGGTGTACTAACAGGCATGCAGTGCAGCTACTTACGATCTAACAAGTGCAGTGCATTGATGACATCAAGTATTAGCACGGCGCCGTCAACCCTTCAGCCAGATCAGTCCACGACCCAATGGTGGCCATCCTCTTCTACAACGAGCACCAAAGTAATCTCTTCTTCAAGTGAGCCGACCGTAAACCTCATTGGAGAGGCTTCATCAAATAAGCGCATCATAACTGGTTCTATTGTGGGCGGCTTCTTAGTTGTCCTCACGATTCTTTTCATTGCGTGCTGCAAAGTTATGCGTAAACGCCGGAAGGCCTTGTCGATGAGGGTTGGTTTAGCTACAGTGGAAGACGGAGCTGGTCAGACGCAAAATCAAGAACAAAGAAATAACCAAGAAGATGAGCGCGTCAATCGGGAACAAACAGATGATAGAGTCTTTCTGCCAAACGAAGATCTGTATGAAAAGAGCCCACTTCCACATCCTACTCAAGAGGAAGCTGGTTATAGGAGTCCGGAAAAAAAAGGAGTGCAGGAGACCACGTCTCCTCTATCAGGCCAGAACAGTTTAGGTAAAATTATGACTGGTCATGAATAAATCTTTGTTTGATTTCCTTTGTTAAGAACAAATTGCAAACCACCCTTATATTGATTACTAGTCATACACCTAATTACTCTCACACAATGGTACGGACCGCTGGAAAGGGGGAGGGGGGGGGAGGGGGCTAGGTTTATCGATATGTATCAAACAAAATCCAGCAGAAACCTTCCAAAATCTTCTAAAGCAAAAGTTTGCCTAATAAGGATGTCGCAAGGGAGATCCGAGAAACAATAAAATCTAAGAGTATGAGGATTCTTAACCCCAGAATTGACTATTAAAGTTACTGTTTCTTCTTAAGTTAAATCACAAATACCACACAATTTACTAATCAAAGGCTTTCAAAATCCATTCTTTGAAATCATTTCAAAAACATATAAAACCGTTTTGAAGGGGTTTTTGAAGGCTGATTCAAACTTTTTAAACATAATTTCAATTTCATAATCTGATGCATCTTTTGATATTACTTTAGTTTCAGATTCTAAACTTGACGGGTCTGTGGTGAAGCAGTGTACAAAATCGTCTAAAAAGCAAGTACACGGTGCCCCCAATGTTGTCACCAAGACGACCACTGTTACGATGATCAAGGTCACTGATGAGAAGGTCACTACGGTTTGACGACAGCCATCAGACTCTATAAATTATCTACTAACCTGATAATTTTTGCCTTGTAATTATTTTTTGTTACAGTGACAGAGATATCGAGACATTTTCGCTACTTAATTTGTTTCTAATCGTCTTAAAACATCTGCAAGCCCCGATTCATTCTCGTTCTAAGATTCGCTGTTCTCTTGATTAAGATTGACCACACTTCCGTAAGATCATCAACTTTTAGCATTTTCTCACGGTAACAAGAGACTGATGAGTAATTTTGGTGGTGCTGTAGAGGCAAGAGAATGAATGTAAGCAAATCTTTATAAGAGAGAACTTAAAAGAACGATCATTTTTGATCGCTTAGAGGGTGTATCGGAGGATTTCAGTTGTGTCGCGATAAAATTTACCTGATCTCCTCATAAGGCTTTGTTTAACAAATAGAGAAGCCTTGACTGTGCTCTGTTCTGTTATAAAGCACTTAGGAAGCGGCTAGAGCACGAAAGAAGTGTAGGGAGAAACACGAGACGTAGTCGAGTATTTCTCCCCACTTCTTGAGTGCTCTAGCCGCTTCCTAAGTGCTTTATAACAGAACAGAGCACAGTCAAGGCTTCTCTATTTGTTTTATAATAAAGAATCCATTAAATTCTCCAAGCATTACTTTCAATTTTCAAAACAAACTCTATTTCCAAAGCGAACAACAGTGTCGTCAGCATGCTCTATACTCTCATAGAGCACGCTACAATAAGCCAATCAGAATCCCTGTTAGAATGGTTCAAATAATCTGATTGGCTGTACAAGACTAAAGCTGTCAAAAGTGTCAAACCATCAAAGTTAAAAAACCATCAAAGTTCACATTCTGCGATAGTTTACAAACTGAAATCGAATTTAACACTTTTGCCTGAAGTTTTTAAGTCTCTAATACAGAATCTTGAAGTGAAATGTGCAGTGAAATTCAGCCGAACTATGGCTCATAAAAACACGCGAGTTTGTTTTTTCACATGACAAGGTAGAAAACAAACTGTTCAAGGCGAGTGTTTTTTGAATGAACGACAGCCGAATTCACCGGAATTTGAAGATCGCTCTGGATGACAGCTCCGCAAAACTCGACTGCAGTGAAAGGATATCAGAGCAAGCTCTTATTTTTTCACTCGAAGGGCGGCCGATGTAGTTTCTGAGGCTTGCTTTACTGTGAGTAACCGGAGATCGCCATGATGAGCGAGCCGCGATAGACTTCGGCATGATCATATTCGCTCAGACACCGTCATGATTTGCATGAATTTTAACAGTTATGCCTGTTTGGTTATATTTTTCATCATTTCTGTTTTGTTCTGTTTTGTTTTTGAACACTGAACTTTATATACTATACGAGTGTTAGCTGTGTTTGATTTTTATTACTGTACGTAAGCTTGCAATCTGACTGAGCGTGAAAATCTTTAAAACTCGGAATGTTTATTTTGTTTTTCCTTTGAGGATTTTCGTATCTGCTCACGTTTTAATAACGTAAATTACAACTTCTGGTATGTTTACAAACCTTTGTTTGGTTCTTCTGTTGCCACTTACCGGCTCGCTTGATCCGAAATTTCACTTTCAATTATCGGAAAAAAGCTAAAAAGAAGTCCCGGAAAAGGTCGAGCATGGTACAATTTGGCAGATGGCGTGACAGCTTGAGCTCAGCTCTATGCTCTATACTCTCATAAAGCACGCTCTTTCAACCAATGACAGCGCGCGTTATATCCGAACTTTATTATAAAATATAGTTATGATCCCCTTTGAATGCAATTTTCGTTAAGTTATTCTTGGGAATATGGTTCGAGTTTTAATCCTCATATATCAGTTTGCCATTTGAAAAACATAAAGAAGCTAGCCGGTGAATATAACCACGTTCGAAACAATTTCCCTCACTCCTTAAGTATAATGATTGATGTATATCAATACCATGCTGTGATGAAGTGAATTAGTACCCCTTTAGATTCCCGTGGAGCTGAAACAGGAACTTCTCTTTCTCTTACTAATAAACAATTATTTAACAATAGGAAAAATAAAAACTTGCTTCTGTGAGAAACTTAAGTACAATCGAACCTGTTCGTGGTCACCCACAGGGAATAGCGGGGTGACCGCTCAATGCACGTTGACTGCTATGACAGTAGTCAAACGCTTTAAAAGACGCGTTTCGTCCTAACAGTTTTAGGAAAGAAGATAATCTGCCTCCAAAATCTAAAAAATCGTCAAACAATGGATTATTGTGTCCAGAGTACTCTAGGAAACCGCTTAATCGACAACCGGGAACTGCTCAATCCCGAAAATACTTGAGATGGTCACGTGACCGTCCAATTCTCTGCTTATCGTTTGACGTAAGCCGCGGGCATTGTGTTCCCACCGCGTGGCCAGATCAGATAAATTGTCGAGAAGACTTTTGTAACTTCAAACACCCGGCAATAAATCCTGAGCTTGTAATAGGAGGCTGTTTATAAGGTATTCGTGAATACAATTGTTTTTGTTTGTTGTTTTTTCCTGTATTTTTCGGGGTATTTGGTACAATAACGGTTTAAGGTTATCAATAATTCCTGCCTGAATTTTACCGCCTATATCTAGACGACAACGTCGCATTTACATTCACTGAGCATGGAAATTTATGGTTTGCGAGCGTTATCAATCAGATCGAAAACGTAAACGAAACCTAGAAGCTGCCGGGCTGGACCGCATTTAAAACTAACATAACCATGACGAAGCTAAAAACAAACACAGCCATCGGGCTGATATGGAAATTATCTTGATCTTTAGAGTGACTTCCCGCCAGGCGAGATCCACCGTTCTATTTCGCCGATAGTTTTATTCTTCATCTTCTCAAATTTAGCGAAATGATTCGTGATTATTTTTTTTATTTACATATTAAATTCTTATTCTCTGAAGGAAGCCAAGGTCACAACCGCTTGACAAAAGCTTACTCCACAATATTTTCACTTGTTTTCAGTCGTGTAATTTCTTGACCGCTCAGGTTTTATCATGAGTTCCTTTCTACACGCGATGAGGTCTAATCTTAAGAATACTTCAGTTATTTTATTCTGGATGTTAACACACGAAAAGAGAGATATTGTTTCGACATCTAAGACGTCATGTGACTGAACACAAAAAACCAGGAAAATGAGACATAATTAGTTTCTTTGATATATATTTACCGAACGTTCGGTTAAACTGTCAATTTTTGGTTCCAATATGTAATCGAAACACCCCTAAAAGTTTGTACGTTAAATGCTCTACAATAATCGTAATGTTTATTCTTTGCTTTACGCACGATGAGTAACAGTCTTTAGAATAATCAGAAGTTTAATTGTTCCGTTATTTTAATAGGTTTCAAAACAAATTTTCGAACGATCACGTGACGGTCAAAGTAGGATCACGTCTCACAAATAAGGGACTTCGACTTTTCCGACCGTATCAGTTACGATTTATCAAAAACTTAAAGAGACCGCCACGAAATATGTCATACTTCTTCATTTCATAGAAAAAGAAAAAAAGAAGAAAAACAAAAACATGTGCGAGTGTGTAGAGAGCACATCTCGACAATACCTGTGCAGACACGGGGTCATATTTCATTATTCCATCCCTAATGGTATAATTTACATGATAAACCTGCGCTGCTTTCACTGTTGATTAATTTATTGATGTTACCATCAATATTTCCATTAAAAGTTCGATTGCGCCCAAGATCCTGCATAGATAATGTGTCTATCTAATCTTACGTCAACTCTCTAATAGGAAGGAAATATTAAATGTAAAACGTTTTTTTGTTCCGGCTACACTTCCCTCTGTCGAAAACGTGAAAAAGCTGTACTACGCTTCCTAATCAAGTTACGGTTTATTCAATTGATTTTATGATTCTATTACAACGCTTCGGTTAACTCCCACTCACAGCTCTTAGCTTATTTGAAAAAAAAAACACTAAAAACGTAAGGCAGTAAGCAGGTCGGAACAAGGCCATATATGGGCGTTAAGAAAAAATAAAATGTGACAGATAAATGCTATGTAGTAGACAAAACACTTACAAATGTCATTCAAATTAAGACGAATTAACGTATCGTAAAAGCTCCAACAACTCTTATAGTGATTATTTCTTCACTTATACTGCGCTGATGCTCCCTTGGGTCGTCAATCCTGACACAGACAGGCTTTAATTAGGCCCTTGAATTTGCGTATGACAAAACGAGAATCACTAAATTAAACATTATAGCTCTTTTTTTAAGTATTTGTTTTTCTGTGTGTGTGTGTGTGGAGGTTTATTTGCATGTTATAACATGCAAATTAGCAAATTAGGCTAGCTGAAATAACTCTTTGAAAATTAAAAAAATGTGAAGTCATTACGCCTTGAATGGAGAGGAAAAAACCAAGCCTGCGATCATTTTAAAAGTTTTCTCTGCGTCTCGTATCAGACTCAAAAAATAAGTTTTATTTTTATCTCTTCCGCTAACTTCCTTTTTCCTTATTAAATACACGGCCGATAACCTTAGGGCTTGATGCTTTATAGGATTAGCGTATTTGATTAACGATTACGATGTTTATGATGATTGATGATGATATTTGTTTGGGTCGAAATTCTTTCTTTCGTTCATAAGCGGAACAAGAGAAGCGAGCTGGCAAGGGCGAAATTGAGTCATACATGATTTTCTGTTACATATATGCTGTACCTTTTAATGGCTTAGCTCTCCTCCAGGTTCTTTGTAAATCAGTGGTTGAGCATCCAAGCGGGAAATCGGAAGGTTGAATGATCGATTCTCTAAATTGAAAATCCAGAAGCTTTCTTTGTCTCTCGCTCGGATAACATCTTTTTCCAAGACTTGCTTCTTGAGGTGCAAGGCCAACGTGAGGGGAGGAGGGTGAGGGTGACTTTTATTCTACGTCTAATACACGTGTGCAAATATCGTTACCACTCCGTCAGAGTATGATCATGCATGGACCATAGGAGAACGGAATGAGTTCAAAAGAGTTACAACTGCTCAAAAATATAAAAATCTGGCACCTTTCCTAGCATTTTTATTGATGAATAACTTAACGAATATTACACACACACGCACACACACAAATATGTTTTCGTTTGAGAGGCTTAGATGTTTTCGGACAGAACTAAGGAAAGCGATGTTTAGGCCCAAAGCGAAAAGAAAAAAACGTTTCCATAGTTATTTCCATCAACAGATCTAGGAATTTATATATGCTGGTTAGCGGTGAAGCGCGTTCCATTGACCTCTTACCCAGACCGTCGCCGTTCATGTAAGCACGGGCTCAAACTTTGTATCCATAAAGTTCAGAAGAGTTGATGCACCATATCAGTATGTCTGACCAAAACAGAGAGTTGTTTGAATGTACAGCCGAGTATAAGGCAAAAATGCAACTCTCGTCAAAGAAAACTTGTATACGATTAAATTATCAAGGGCTTTTTCAGCTCAGTGTTTCTTTCTCTTCTGGTGTGGC